TTCAGTTATTCCATGAGTGAGCGAGACAGAGAGAGGGAAAGTGAGAAAGCAGCCCCAAGGAGGGATGGCCACGCTGCAGTCTCTTCTCCATTCTCCTCTAGGCATTTTGGGCACTTATACATTTGCACCAGCGTGATTTTCAAGCTGTCAAGTCCAGGACTCGAACCCATGGGTATTCATCTGGGAGTCCAGTGCTTCAACAGCCCTGCCATCTGCCTTAAAGGAAGGGTATCAGCAAAATCATACTGTGGTACAAAGGGATCTCTACCACTCCTACCCTACCTCATTAGTTCATTCAAAAGTTTTTCAAAGGTTTATTTGTATTCTATAGTGAGTTTTTTGGTTTTTAAGAAAGCTAAAAACATAGCTGACATTTATGTGCCAACTATTCTCGCCAACACAGTATTATTTACCATCAAGACAAGCCAAGGCAGGTTCTAGAAGGATCTTCAAAAGGCTCATGGGAAACACACAGTTGGGAAAAAAAACACTACGCGAGAACTTCACTTATTTTCTCCAAAATAAACCTGCGCAGTAATGCCATTTTCCCACAAGCCCTCTGAAGACAGCTTGTACTAATTCATCCCCATTTTACTAACAGGCGATGTGAAGCTTGGCAAGGCGAAGTTACTTGGCTGAGGACACACTGCTAGTGAGCCTCTGGGCTTGCCTCCAAGACAGGCTGGCTGAATCCAAAATGCACTTTCCTAATCATTAATCTGAAGCTTCCTCGCCTCCCCTTTGCATTCCCAGTATCTGGGAGATGAAAAACTTGTGCTGGGACAATCATTTTACTAAAACTGAAACAGGGACCAGCAGATGGCATAGTGCTTACTTCACTGGACTCACACATGCCTGACCATGGTTCGAGTACCACAGCGAGGGGTGTGTGGGTGCGTGCCCAAAATCCCGAGAAGAGAATGAAAGAGAAGGGATTGCGGCATGGCTGTCCCCGGGAGGGGGGTTCTCACTTTGTCTCTCTGCAGAGTACATGCACCCTATGTCAAAAGTTTCTCAAAAGCAAACAAAAAAATTGGAACGATCCTAACGGCTAACATGGACATTTGTGGGCAAAATGAATGTGTCCAAGAAACATGGAAAATTCACTGTCGGGGAGACCTATTCCCTTCTCATCAGACTGTACTTGCCACTAGTTGATTTTTTTTTCATTTTCACTGCCTGACACTAGGCTGAAGTTTCGAGGCTATGCTCCAGTTTCTTCTTAGTCTTTCCATAAAATCTAAGTCTTGATTTGCTCATTTGCAAAGCTTTATTAACGGCAGTTACCTGATAAACTGTAAGTGCACTGTGACACACCTGCCAATGGAGAAAATCAAGTAGCTGAGTTTAAAGAAGTATACTGGGGCTGACAGGTGGCGTGGTGGTTGAGGACCCAAGACTCCCACATGGCCAACCACGGTTCAAGTCCCAGACCTGGTGACTTGCTTTCTCACTTCTCCCCACCACCAC